CACAGGGGGGCAGCAGCTATTTCTTACAAATGCAGAGAGCTGTCTGCAAGTCAGCATAGTGTAGCAAAAGGCCACCGTAAAAAAGGGAAATCTTCTGCTGGTGTCTGCATTGGGCAGGGGTAGTGTTTAGGGTTTTTTATTGATATAAAATTTTTGTATGTGTAAATTGTTGGATTTGTTTGTGTGTTTTGTTGATGTTTTATTTATTCCTTATGACTACTTTTGTTATGTTGTAATTACATATATTTTTCATGTTGAAAGCCACCTTGAACATGGTTTGAACTATGGAAAAGGAGGGACTCTCTTGGGTGGGAGAGCCACTGTGTGGAGGCTCCTCTTTATTTTCTAACCAAACATGATTTGGATGCTGGTGGGACAAGAATGAGAGAGACCCTTTCTTCTGGCACCCCCTCGCAACAATTCTGTAGCCTACCAGAAAGTTTTTCAGGTCACACACACCATTTTGATTTGGGTTACGGCTATCAGTTCGTTCTATGCTGGGCCATGTTAGCAAGCCCAGGTGGGACCTCTGGATGTGCCTCCTACTTACTGAGCAAAAGCTATTCTGCTTCGGACCCCAGAGTCCTGGTTACTGGCTAAACATGATCCAGAGTTCATTTAGATCTCTCCCTGTCCCTCCCCCCACAATGCTACACACCCTCCAAATGTATGCATGATTGAAACCTATTCAAAAGTCAAGTGAAACCAGTAGTAGGGGAAGAAGGGAGAGAGAGGCACAGAATGCTGCAGAGCTACTATTCTACGCCAGTGCTATGGGGGATGCCCAGCGCCAGCTCATTAAGACAGCGGCAATCCAGGATTATGCCTAGGATCTTCCAGATCCATTTATTTCTAGGTGACTCCTTGCAAGCAGCCAGTAGTGCGTCACAGTCCAGAGGGAGACTTCAACAAGCCAATCACACTAATTAACAGCAGCTTCCTAACAGGCTGTCCTGCCCTATTTCACTAATCTCTGAGTGATGCAGCCACCCTAATCTTTTTTCCTCCACCATGAAAACAACCACCTGCCCACTGCTCCAGAGTCTTGATGGAAACAGGTGCCCAGCAGGTCACTCGTTCATATGCGTGCGTGCGTGCCTGCATAGGACTGCAACACACACCCATACATCCAGCACAGCCAAAACACCCCCATTCTCCAAGTGTCATTTGGAGATAGCAAGCAGAGACTCATACACTCCCTGAAATGAAAGTCATAGCCACATTGATGTGAGTTACAGTTAAAGAACCCATGGTCTGAAGTGGATTTGTAAATTGTGGTCCGGTGCAATCTCCAGTTAAAGGGTGTGGAAGGTGACAGGTCTTGGTGTCCCCAGTGGTGCAGTTAGGTGATTTTAGACTTTGGACTTAATGGTTTCAGTTTCTCTCCCTCCCTCCCCCCCCCTCAAAATGTGATAAGCTGGTCCTACTGCCTCCTGCTCATTTGGACAGGTGGGGCACTGTGCATCTGCCCCCAAGTCCTGCCCTGGCACCACTGCCCATCCCTCTCTTGCACAGGAGAATCATAAATTCACTTCTCAAGATTAATGACCCTGAACTGAATTTGCAATAGAATTAGAAGTCGTTGTGTCTGCTGTTTGTTATATACTTTAGATCACCTTGTTATGACACAATTTCCCTAAATCTATGACTTTCCTTTCTTGATTCATTCATCTTACTATATTTCTTCCATAACATTTCATCAAGGAAGCTACTTTCTCTTAGGAAAAGGTTTCTGTGTTCACTGTTCCAAGCGGTGGTGCTGGCTATTAGCTTAGATAGCTTCAAAAGTGAATCCGGCAAATTCAGGGAGGAGTGGAACCTGCACATCTAGCAAGGGAAGATAAAGTGCTAGGAAGTAACAGAGGGGTTCACTCTGGGGCCCGATTATGGGCTTCCTAGAGGCATTCATTTGGTTTGGCACCATGGTAAGCAGGATGCTGGGCTAGACTAGATGGCCACGGGGTTCCTGGTCCAGAGGGGTTCCTGGAAGCAAAGCCTTACAAGGAATGGTTGCAAGAGCTGGGTATATCTAACCTGGAAAAGAGAACATTAAGGGTACAGAGGATAAGCTGACTTCAAACATCTGAATGGTTGTTATGTAGACAATACAGATATGTTCCGTGTATGGGAAAGGCAGGGAACCAAATCTGGGCTCAACATGAGGCAGAGCATCTCAGTGGTGATGTTTGACAGTGGGGCAAACTCCCTTCACTAGAGGTATTTAATTCCCCCCCCCCATTCTTTAAATTAATTTTTCCAAATTTATAACAAACATAAAAGAAAAACATTACAATACAAAAAAGACAAATGAACAAACATATATCCTAACTGTTAACATCCCAATTTAATTATCATTATTGGATGATTTCCTCGAGTCCCCCTAGCTGAGTTTCCATATACTGTAACTCATTGTAGCAGTTTTCCAATATCTAATTTCGAATAAAATTAACTTATTCAATTAACATCTTTCTCTCTCTTCATAGTGTTCTCTATCCATAATGTTATACAATTTAACATATTTAACTCCTAGGCCAATTTGGTACTTACAAATAATTCTACTTATGTTATCTTAGAATATCTAACTAGATAGTTCACTGGAGGTATTTAAGCAGAGGCCGGAGGTCCATCTGTCAGGGAGGCTGTAACTGTGGATCCTGCACTGAGCAGCTGGTAGGACTAAAGGACCTCCAAGCGCCCCCCCCCCTTTCACGTTCTTCATGAAAGCAGAAACTTTACGGGTGGTGGAGAAAAACCCATGTGGCACATCCTTAGCTGGCGGCATTAACCCCCCCCCCCTTGGAGGACAACATCGGTAATAAGGCTGGCGAAGGTGCAGCCCTCCAGATGTTGCTGGATTTCAACTCTCCTCGCCATCCGAAGGTGGCTGCTGACACCCTCCCAGCGCACCAGGGAGCAGAGCCAGACGGATTTCGAGGGATGGAAAAGTAAGGGAGGTCACCTCCTTCTGCTCCTCCTCTCCTCCTCGGGGGCATCAGATTACAGGCGCTCAGCTGGCGCAGCCCCCCCCCCCGCCAGTGCCAGGTCAGCAGGAGATCCCTTCCTCTCCCCTGGGGGCGGGGTGGGGGGAACCTCGTCTCCCGGGCTCCCGGCCAAAGGCGACTTTGCAGCATCGCATGGGCTGGACCGGAGGAGGAGGAGGAGGACAGGGCGAGCGCCGCTTGGTGCAACATCCGGCTCCAGTTGCGCCCAGCTTCCTGCAGGATTTGGGAGCCTCTTGGGTCGCGTCACGCGGCGCCTGCGTCAGCTACTGCGCTAGGATCCCCTTGAGGATGCGGGGCACCCGCCCGCTCCCTGCCGGGGGGAGAAGCTAGCCCGCGTGCCCCTTGGCAGGGGAGCCTCTGCGTTGTTTATGGAAGGGGGTGTTTTAACAGCATCTATAGCAGGAGAGAATATGGAGCAATAAGCAAAACATCATGCAAGGGAAGGCGGGACCGACGGGGGGGGGCGCGGGGAGGAGGATGTTATTCTCTCTTCCAGATGCTGCAACACTCTGAGGCTGTGCACACATGGCCTGCTTAAAACGCGACGTCGTTCTTTTCCTCAATTCGAATCAAAGCTGCTTTTGGAAGGAAACACATCAAAGCAGAGCACCAGGATGGATAAGGATTGTGGCAAAAGCTACGTGCGCACCGCTTCCCCAGCTGCATGCAGAGTCAACGGAACTGTGGGGCGGCCCTCTGCCCACCACCCCTGACAATTGGCCAGGCTGGGTGGGATGTCAATGGGAGGGGGAGTCCCGCAACATCTCGACAGTCACGGATTCCCCATCGCTGACAGAACGGGTTCTGAACTAAGGGCTGAGATTCTGTTCCTTCCTTGGTGGTGGAAGGCAGGTGGCAGCAGTTTTGCCAATGTGAACAGTTCCAGTGTTGGCTAAACAGTTGTTTTCTGCACAGCAGAGGGAAGGGAATGCTGGGAGTTCCCAGACTGCGCAATTGGAGAGGGGCAAATGTGAGGGGACAGGACAGGGAGGAATTGGGGTAGAAATGTTTTCACGGAAAGGGCGCCCCATGCCCAATGGGCAGCTATAAGGAGGACTGGGTTTTGGGTTTGTTATGGACCTCATTCTCTTCACATCTTGGCAGAGCCAAACTGGATGTGACACCAAATGCATCTTTAGCAATCATGGTGGAGTTTGTCGGAGAAGGGCATAGTTCAGCGGCAGAGCCCATGCTCTCCATGCAGGAGGTCTCAGGTTGAAGCCCCTAAGGAAGGAGCTAGGGGGGCTGAATGATGGTCTGACTTGGTTTAATAAGACAGTTTCCTATGGTCATGGATAGATACCGTAGACAGACAGACAGACAGACAGACAGACAGACAGACAGACAGACAGACGGTAGCAGGTGAGCAGATTTTGACACTTCGAGTTGGGGGTGGGGGGTTCATGGAAGGGGAGGAAAGACTTAAGCCTCCTCTCTTGATATTCTGTGGACCTGATGGAGTATCACACACACACACACCCTTTTTTTAAAAGAACCCTGATACCACTCAGCATCGCATCTCCTTTGGTCCAAAGATACCAAAAATAGAAATGTCTTCTTTGTGCATTGAATTAGTGCTAGTTACTGTGTGGATGGAATGTGAGGTGAAGTGCATTATAGCAAATGCAATCACAGACACCCGGCCACGCGTGCCTAAAAGGGTGACTGCGCACATTACCTGGTCACTCTGAGCTGGATCCAAACTGCCTCCTTGTAGCTAACATAGGTCTGGAGGCTTAGCCAGCGGCTCCACCGATTCACCCGCCTGCTCTCCGGGGCGAGCTCCCCTCCATCATAGATGGAAACCGCTGAACTTCCTATGGAAGCTCGTGGGAGAAAAACTTCTTTCTTTCTTTCTTTGCCTCCTCGCCCACTTTCTGTAGAGGAGAGTTTGCGACTTTCCCCTTGCCATGGGGCCTTTTCTTTTGCAAAAGCCCATCACAAGGGCTGACACCTCTCTATTCCCCAAATGCAGAAATCCTAGACTTCGACTCCTACCTCCCCAGCAGGAGCGGGAGACTTCGCTGGTGGATTGTGAGCCGCCTTGTTCACTATTGCGGACTAATAGCGCCGTTTGGATCATCCCCCAAATACCGCGAGTCAAGCCTCGCGAAACGGCTTCGCGAAAGAAGAAGAGCAGCAGAACTGCGTTGCTCTAGCCCAGCCAACCGGGGCTGGAGGGGAAGGACCGGGAGCAGCTTCAGGAGCGGACTCCCGCTTGGCGCCACATGCCAGTTGCAAAGCAGCAGCCCGCTTGGGAGCGAGGGACGCCGCCAGGCGCCTGCCCGGGGACCGTGTCAGCCCCTTCCAGCCCCGCTGAATGCGGAGTCAGCACAGGCCAAGCCAGCCCCGGAGCGGGAGATGGATGGCGAAGGGCGCCGAGGAAGCCAGGCCCGGGCAAGCGGGGCTCCTACCTGGACCTCCCGCCGCCGCCGCCGCCCCGCCCGGCCTCGTCTTCGCTGCCGCTGCCCGCGGGCTCGAGGCTCAGGCGCGCGTCCTCGTCCTCCTCGTCGTCGAGCCGGGCATCGGGCGCCGCGGCGACGCGGATCTCCACGGGGCCGGCGCCCCCGGCCCGCCGCCCGCCCGCCTCCGCCATGCCGCGCCAGCTGAGCCGGGAGGCGCCGCGTCCCCCTCCGCCTCCTCGCCGCCGCCGCCGCCGGAGGAGCCGCCCTCCAGCCGCCGCCGCCGCTGCCCGCCCGCCTCCTCCAGCCGCGCCAAGCGGGGCGCGTCCGAGGCAGCCGCGCGAGGTCGTCCCCCTGGCCTGGAGCTCCTCGGGCTTAATCCCCGCCACAACCCGGCGAGGCAGCGACTGGAGCAAGGTCACCCAGGCAGCTTCAGGCGACTCCTGGTCGCTCTCCCGTCCGAGTCTAACCCCTACACCACACCGGGCTGACCAGGGATGGAAATAGCAATGGTGGCTCTAAGGGCAGGCAGAAGGTCAGGTCCCCACAATTCAGCCCCCCTCCAAACCCCACCTGCTCTATCTGAAGCAAGTCTCAGGAACCTAGTCCAGGTGTTTGAGGGCATCAACCAGCATACAGACAGCTGTGTTCTGGCTGACATAGTGTGCTTGGACTTTCAATAAGCTTTCACTGATGAGTAAGATTAGCAGTAATCATGGAATAAGAGGAGAGGTCCTCTTACGGATCAGGAATTGGTTAAGAAGCTAGAAGCAGGAATAGTTTGTCAGATATTGGAATGGAGAGAGCGTTGGGGTGAGCAGTGAGGTGGCCAAGTTTCAATACTAAAATGTTCAGGTTGAAACAAAAAGATATTGTGAAGAACTCCAAAATGATCTATCCAAACAGAGTGAAAAGGCAGTAAAATGGTGATGTGATTCAATCTAAACTAGTGTCAACTGATAACATATTGGGGCAAAACCCCTCAACTTCATATAAATGCTCATAGGATCTGAACTGACAGCAACTGACAGGAATGAGTCCTTAGGGTCATAGTAGACATCTGAAGATGTTGACCTGGTGGGCAGCAGCTGTGAGAAAGGCAAATTCCATGCTATCACAGGAAAGGAACAGAAAATGCAACTGCTGATGTAATGCTATTACACAAGTTGATTGTACGGTCGCATTTGGATATTGTAGAGCTGGCAAACTTGGTTCAGAAAAGGGCAGTGAAAATGATCAAGTGGGACATTTTTGTTCAGAGAAAAGACAAGAAAGAGGTGACATAAAAGAAGTTTATAAAATTATGCCTGGCAGGTAGAATAGGGATGGAGGAAAGTTTTTCTGCCTCCCATAGCGCTACAACTTCGGTACCTACTTATCTACTCACGATGGTATGCTTTTGAACTGCTAGGCTGGCAGGAGTTGGGACAAAGCCACAGGAGCTCACCCCATTGTGTGGATTTGAATTGCTGACCTTAGGATCATCAATCTCAAGAGGCTTGATGGTTTTGATGACTTGGAAAGCTGTCTGCGGACGAACACCGGAGATGAGCGCTGTACCCCATAGTCAAATTTAACTAGACTTAACTGTCCAGGGGTCCTGGTCCTTTACCTACAACTTGTGGACTTTCAATTAAGTTGAATGTTGAAAGATTCAGGACTGATAAAAGATAGTACTTTTTCATGTAGTGCATATTTAAACTATGGAACTACCTCCCAGAAACGGCAGTGATGGTCACCAACTTGGAAAGGCCTGGACCAATTCATGGAGGAGAGGTCTATCCATGGTTGGTAGCAGCGATGGCTGTGCTCTGCCTCCAAAACTGAAGGAAGCAATGCTTCTGAGTACTCCTTGCTGGAAACTACAGGAGGGGAAGCAGTTCTTGTGCTCAGGACCTCCTTGTTGTTTCCCACAGGCATCTGGTCAGCTACTGGGAGAAGAGGATGCTGGACTAGATAATAGAATTGTAGAGTTGGAAGGGACTCCAAAGGTCATCTAGTCCAACCTCCTGCAGTGCAGGAATCTCAACTAAATCCAGCAGATTCTTCCGATGTCCTTAAATAACGCAATGGCATCTTCTACAGATGCTGCTGAAGCCCAGCTCCCCCATCCCTGAGTATTGGCCACGGAGGCCAGGGCCTGATAGGAATCCAGCAACATCTGGCAGGCCACATGTTCCCCAGCCCTTGCCATAGGGGTGGAGCAAGGCAGGTGCCTCATGCAATCCACACCTCCAGCTTCCATGTGAATGTTGCTAAAAGGGTGGTCAGGAGGTGTCGCCTCACTCCCTTTGTGACTTAGCTGGTTGCACCTGACATTGGGCCGCAGGAGCAATGCCTCGACCTCTTCCACATGCGCTACATCAGGAAGATTCCGGGCATCACATGGCAGGACAGAACTACAAACAAAGATGTGCTGTTCCACGCTCACATTACCAGCACGCTTGCACTTCTGTCTCAGAGACATCTATGCTGGGTTGGTCATGTCCGCAGAATGGAAGACGGCAGGATCCTCAAGGACCAGCTCTGGGAGGGAAGATGGCTTCAGGCAAAGATGTCTGCCAACATGACAAGAGGGCAGGCAGCATTAACCCTGTCATGTGGGAATCCCTGGCAGCACCTGGAGACAGACATGTTGTGTATCCACAGCAGTGACCAGAGGAGGAATGACCACTGACAGGAGTCTCTAGAGAGAAGAAATTCCCCGATGCATCTGCAGCGGCACCAAAACTGCTAGCATATTTTCCAAGCTAAGCAGGGTGCAGCACGCTTTTCAATTAGATGGGAGATTGGCACGTGTCAGGATTCCTGCATTGCAGGGGGTTGGACTAGATGACCATCGGGGTCCCCTCCAACTCTACGAGTCTATGATTCTCGGGGCGCCACTGAGTGTCTTTAAAGGCGGCGGGTAGCCCTCCAGGTGGCTGACGGACTCCAACTCCCATCAGCCTCAGCCAAGCGCTGCCGGTGCTGAGGGCTGATGGGAGTTGGAGTCCGGGAAAGTCGAGAGGCCCCGCCCCGGCAAGGTCGCCTCGAAGCCTCGAGAGAAAGGAGGGAGCGGGGGGCGGGGCCTTGTCCGGAAGCGCTGCGGTTGCTATGGCGACTGCCGGGTGGCTTCCGGCCGAAGGGGAGCGGGAGGAGGCGTCCGTCGCCCGGAGGGGTTTGGGCGCCGCCGCCGCCGCCGCGGGAGGAGGAGGAGGAGGAGGAGCCCGTTGCCATGGTGCCCAGCAAGTGCCGGCCGGCCGTCGCCGGGGCCCGACCGGGACACGCCGTCTCGGTAAGCGGGGGGCGGGGGGGGGGGCGGCTCCGCCTCCAGAGCCCGCTCTGAGGAGACACAAAGGGAGAGGCAGAGCCGCGCCTGCGGGGGGGGGGAGGGGTTCGCCTCTTGCAGTTGTGTATTGAACGCTTTGGAATCCATATATTTAATATTCATCTACCTATATAACGTTTTCTCATCCTTATTTATATGGATGCAAAAACAAGTAAGGTGCTGGAAAAAGGCAGGATATAAATATAATAATAATAATAATAATAATAATAATAATAATAATAATAATGCAAATGTATGTAATAATAAATACACATACATCTGTATTTATTGTTGTTATGTGTGCACTAGTGGCCAAAATTGTGGAAACCTTTTGGGAAAAGTGTATTTCCGAGGTTTGATAGCTTATAACACCACTTATTTTTGGAGTAATACCATAAAATTATATATCAATGGAAAGATAATTTAATGAAGAATGTAATGCAATAACTTTTATGAAGGATTATTTATTACAACAGCAGTCATAAAAAAGAAATGTGAAACACATAGAACAAATGAGATATACAAAAATTTTCACCATGTCAGTTAATGTTTAGTTTGGTAACCTTTTCTTTGATTACGGCCTTACAATGCCTTCCCATGCAGTGAATCAAGTTTTTTAGTTCTGCAGTTGTAATAATGTTAAACCAAGATTGAATTATTGCCTGTATTAATTGGGTTTTATTGCTGGGTTGGTTCTGACTAACAAGTTTCTTTATTCGGCTCCATAGATTTTCAGTTGGGTTAAGGTCTGGGCCATGTATTTCTGGGCATTTACATTCCCATTAATGACGCAAATTCTGCCCACACCTTTTGCTGTCATACAACCCCAGATCATAACGCTAACTGAGTGTTTCACGGTAGATGTAATGCAAGTAGGATGTAAATCTTCTCCAATTCTTCTCCTCACATATTACATGCCATCACTACCAAGCAAGGAGATTTGGGTCTCATCACTCCAAATAACACTGTCCCATTGGTCCGCTGCCCAGTTAACATGCCCGGTTTCATCTTCTGAACCTTTGTTTGAGAGATAACGATGACCTTTTCCTTGGAATTCTAGCATTTAGACAATATTCCTGCAGTCTGTGTGGAACAGTCCTTGCACTCAGCTTCACATTGCCTTGCACCATGTCATCTTGTAGACACCCAGATGGTTTTCTTCTGTCCCGTAGGCACAGGCTCTCATTTCTTCTATCATCGCTTGCTGCTGTGCACCTGTTCCTGCCTTTACCAGTCTGATTTTGTAGTGGCTGAGTCTCCTGATACCTCTTCAAAAAATTAGAAATGCCACCTTTGGTTAAGTTTCCACCAATTTTTCTTCTGATTTCTTCATAACTGTAGCCTTGTTCACTTAGTAGTGCTATTTCACATCGCTTTCTGGGTGACCAGTACACTCTTTGTGCCATTTCTTTAATTTTATTACATTTTACAAGCTCACTAAATGAAAGAACACAAAAGAATCAGCCAAGTGAAAATGTCCTCCTCCCATCTCCAGTACATAGCATCAGTAGCTGAATCCTAGTGTGACATTGATTGAATCGTTGCCAAAACAAGATGATACCTGATTGGCTCTCTAAACACTCCTGCTCATTGGCTACATTCAAATAAAGGAAAGCTACTGCATATCAACCTAAGCAAGTTGTGCTTCCTTTTTTCTGGTTACTTGGCTATA